CTAATTTTATTTTATTTTGAATAAACTATGGTCTTTTTGTTTTGTTTTATTTCTAGTGTTAGTTTTGCAATGAATGGATCGAGATGTGAAGAAGAAAAATAGATATATAACAAAGATAAAACGAATGCTCAAAGCATATATAATAAACATATTGTTGGGTAATGGATGAAATATAACGAAATCTTAATCATTAAAATTAAGGAATTTGTGATTATCTCAGAAAATTGTAACTTTCTTAATTAAATCAAGAGATTTTATATAATTTTAAAGTTTAGCTGCCTATTATAATAGAGATTTTTTTTGGTTTTGATAGGATTCTGTCCAGTATTAAGAAATTTAATCATTTGTTATATTTGCCATAAAAAGAGACTTATTAACTTGTATTGTTTTGATTTTTAATTTTTTTAATTAATTATATATGTCTTTTTTTAAAATTTGACATAAATTTAAATAAAATAATTATAGTTTAATATATTAAAGTGAATTTTTAAATATAAAAAACATTTATTTCAATAACCAACCTAAAGACCTCTTAGTACAAGAGCAAATATTATCTAATATAAGGTATTTAAACTTTTTATATAAAAATTAATTTGTCCTACTCTATCTTTGCACGGACAAAGAATAACCGTAAATTTTATCAATAATTTTTATTTTGTTTAAAACAAGTGAAAATATTAAAACTGTGTTATTTATTTCCTATAAATTATATAAAAAAATTTCACTAGATGGGAATCCAAAAATATCACCTCTTGATAAAAAAAAGTTAAAAGCTTCCCGAAAGAGCTTTTTTTAAGATATATTTCAACATTTTGAAATTCTCATATTTATTTTTTATTTTACTCTTATTTTAAACTTTTATTTATAAATTTTATTATTTATCCTAATAATAAATTATTTCATCTCCTTTCCTTCAAAACTCTAAAAAGAACTTTATATAATTACCAAATAGCTTCAAAGAAAAATTGAACATTTTTTTAACTCTAACAAAAAGTAACTTTTATTCACAATTTTAATTCCAAGAAATCTTATTTTCTCAGAAAAATTTTAAGAATCCGTTAGCCTGTTAATTTTAACTTCTTAGCAAAACTAAGAATCAACTTCACAAAAAAAACTCAAATTATGTTGTTAAAACAAAAACCACAGTTTTAACGTCCAAAAAAAGTCATAAATCACAACAACAATTTATCACAATTTACATTTAAGTCACTCTCAAAATCAAAATGTTCAAACTAAATTGTATATATTTCATTAGATCTAACAAACAAATGCATACTATGTAAATTAAAATAATTACGTGAATCTAACAAACACAATATGATACTTGTCGTAGCCAAAAATTTCTCATCATGTTCTCTCCTCTGCAAATACAATTTCAAAGTTACATAAGTTGACAAATAATTTGTAAATGTGGAAAACAAAAAATAAGATTAAAGAAGAGAAACAAAAAAGATTAAGAAACAAAAAAAACCTTGGGAAGGTTATACTTACTACAAATTTTTCTTACTACCAAATCCTAACCGTTGATTTTTGTAAATCTAACAGCTATAATTTACTGATAATTAATGATTAATTAATAAGTGTGATCCAATAAATTATAATCGTTAGATTGACGGAAATCAGCGGTTAAAATTTGATAGTAAGAAAAAAAAATAGTAAGTATAACCTCTCCCAAAAATCTTTTAATATATTCATATACACAATCTAACATGCTGAGATGTTGGTTTCTCCTACGTGACAAATAAAGTTAGATTTTTATTAAAATTTAATCAAATATAATTAAATTATATAAGAATGTTAGTTGATTAAATTTATATTTTTTTCAAGTCATACTTATTTTATTTTATTTAAAATAAATAGTACAATACAGGCCAATCTGTATGCTTATAGGCCAGGCCTTGTAAAAGTGGGCATATCGCCTATTTATTAAAAAACTATTTCCAAGGCCGGAGCCTGGCTTATTTTACAAAATATACTAGGTCAGATCTGACTTAACGTAGGTTGAGGTGTAGGACACTGTGGGCCGGCTCGGCCCAATTTCACCCCAAATCATTTCCTGGGTTCCTTTTGTAGATCTCTTGATGAAAGCAATATTTCTTCCATATGATATATGTAGTTGCTAATTTTATGGCGTCCTTATTAGGCTTTTTTATTGTTTATTGATTAGTAAGGATGTAAATGGGTCGGACGGGGCTAAACTTTGCATTAAATAGATTAGCTTTGTGTAAAATAATTTAAGTTTGACATGGTCTATTAACCTTGTGTAGATCCAAATTATAAATTTGGCTTGACCTATATTTAAAAAATAAAAATCTTGGCCCAGACAAGTTAGCTTGTTTAAGCTTATTAGACGTTCAATAATTAAAAAAGTAATTAAAGTAATAGTATTTTATTATTTAAAATCATTAAAATAGTACTTTTATTTAAAATAAATAATATGATATAGGCCGACCTGCAGATTTACAGGTCCGGCATGTAAAAGAAAGTCTATGACCTTCTTTCTAAATATACTTTTTTAAAGCTTGAGTCTATTCTATTTGACTATATATAATAGGCCGAATCCGACATGATATAAAATGTACCCCTCTTAAATCACCTGATCCATTTACACCTTTTACTTATTATTACTTAGCTATGAAGAATTTAAACGAGAAATTGGCATGTTAATCTTTCCACCTGAATTCACTGATGTTTAGCTTTAATTTAGGAATTTTTAAAAAATTCTTTCAATAATATTTTTATTATAATCTATTTTAAATATAAAATAACTAATAATAACTACTGTAACGTTAATCCCAAAGCATTCATATTTCACAAACTGGATTGGAATAAATTCTTATATTACGACTTCATGTAACACATTAGGTTAGTATATGACATAAATGAAGGCATTCTTTTGAAATTTGTATATTTTTGCATAGCCCCCACGATAATTTTTTTTTTCTTTCTTAAAACTGTTTTGTAAAATAGTTAATCAAATATATATGTTCTGTGTTTTTTGTATTTTGAAAATTAAAAATCAAAAATAAAATAAAATAATTTGGATATATTTTCTAAATATTATTCTAAAAACTAAAAACAGTAATAATTTTTAGAATTAGTTTTACAAAACAAACATTATCAAAAAAAAAAAATTCTTCTGAAAATAAAAAAATTATTTTTGAAAACACAATTCAAACGCCCTATACTTTTTTGAATTTGAAACCCGAACCTGGTTTTCAATAATTTTGGCCAATCATCATATAAAATGAATAATTGAATGAGGAAGGATATTGAAACAACCAATTAGTGTTATTACCATTCAATTTTGCCATTAGATCGATTATGTTGATTTAATAGTTATATTTATTTCCATCTTTGTATGATTATAATTCCCAATATTTAATACTTTATATTTATTTCCACCTTTGTATGATTATGATTTTCGATATTTAATGCTTTCATATTAAATATGAGACATCAAAACCATACAAAGATGGAAATAAATATTACCGTTGAATCAACATAATTGATCGAACGGTGAAATTGATTGGTCGTAACACTAATTGGTTGTTTCAATATCCTTCCTCATTCAATTATTCATTTTATATGATGATTGGCCAAAATTATTGGAGACCAGGTTCGGGTTTCAAATTCCAAAAAATATAAGGCATATTTGAATTGCGTTTTTTAAAATTATTTTTGCAAATTCAGACCACAACTTCTAAGATAAAGTCTGATTGTTACAAAATTCAAATTATGTTTGTGAGAGATAAAATATTTCAAATGAGGTGTCATTTCATAGATCTCAAAAAGTTATGTGAAATCAAAAAAAATTACCTGATTCAGATACCCGAGTTAAAAGTTATGGCCTTCAGAAGTTTTACGATCAAATTGTTAATTTTTTACGACATGTGTCTGATCAGTGACGCCCAATTTAGGCGTGATTGGTGACGCCCAAATTGGGCGTAATATTGTGCAATAAATGTGTAATTATATCCGAAACTGCCATAAAGTTGTAACTTTTTATTTAAAAAACAATAAATTAATTTTTTTGCCCCACACGATAATATATTTTTTTATTCTTAAAACTGTTTCGTAGAGTAGATAATGAAATATATGTTTTGTTGTATCTTGAGAGTTAAAGTAAACACGTTCTCTAAATATTATTCTAAAAATAAAAAACAATTATAATTTGTAGAACTAATTTTATAAAATAAGTCTTATTAAACAAGTTTTTTTTTTATTCTGAAAATTAAAATTATTGTTTTTGGAAACACAATTCAAACATCCCTATGATCTATAGAAATCTGAAATCAAAACCTGGCCTTCAATAATTTTGGCCAATCATCATATAAATTGAATAATTGAATTATGTTACCTAATTAGACAATATTGTTTTTTAGTGGAAAAAGGAAATTAATCCTCGTTTTCCCGGGAGCAAGAAGGGAGACTTTGTACTGAATTTCTATTATTCAATATATATAACATTCGATGCGCACGTTAAGCAGTGTTCAATAAAAAATTATTGATTGTTGTTACTATAAATAGATAACCTTAATCTGATTTCCCCCCTCCTCATTTGGATTAAGAAAAAAGAAGAAAAAAAAAATCATTGATTCCAAATTATGGTACCTTCGGTGTTAGTTTCTCATATGAATTCGTTTGATTTAGTACGTCTTCATAGTGGCAATGATCATTAATTATTAAATATTCTTTTATGGCTTTTATGTGTGATTAGTGCAATTGTTATAGAATTTATGATAACTTTTTTCCTTTATTGTAATTAGAATCAATCAAATTTATGATTATTTATACATGATGCAAATCAATTAATCACTGATTATGTTGCTTCTTCCATATTGAATTACATCCTCTCTGTCCAATCCCCACGTACTTTAGCCCTAGAAAACCCATCTCTATAACTTTGCCATCAGTATTATATATAGCTAGCTCTTCCTTTGACATTTACCACAAATCTGTCATTCATCCAAGTTTGTTCTTTTCAACAAACTGAAAATATGTCTCCACAAAGTGCAGTTCCTCCATTTTTCTTTATTTTCTTCTCATTTGGCGGCTTGTCTTTTGGCTCTTTACTGGATTACACACGGTTTCAAACAGGTTATCCACGTTACTCGTGGCCTGGGAAGCTGGAGAAGCCAAAATATGAACGTTTTGGCTTCACCACTTGGGCTGATCGATTCACCCCATCTTCACTGTCTCAAAGTCAATTCACCCCATCTGCTTTGTCTCAAAGAATGGCAAATGTGAATGACTTTGGAGCCAAACCAAACGATGATGGAGATGATACCCAGGTAACGTAACAACAATAACATGATAAACATGACATATGTATATATATATATATATATATATATATATATATATATATATATATATATATATTCAATAGTCCATTTCTCAATCTCTTAACCTTTTTTTTTTAATTGTGCTTTAGGCATTTGAGAAGGCATGGAATGCAGCATGTTCTACAGGGAGTGTTCTTTTGGTCCCTGAAAATAGTTTCTACTATCTAAAGCCAATAACATTTTCAGGCCCATGTAAACCAAATACTGCCTTTACGGTGAGATATATGTTCAAAAGCAATGTTTATTGATAAATCATTTGTTTATCACTGGTAGTTCATTCTAATATTGTTTTGTGTTTCCTGCTTCTTCTTGTTAGATCCGTGGAACAATCATCGCATGGCCTGATATGTCAGCATACGAAAACACAGGAAAAAGTGGCCTCAAATATTGGATTATGTTTGATGGTATCACGAATCTCAGAGTTTATGGAGGCGGCCTCATCGATGGGAATGGCAAGAAATGGTGGATGAACTCTTGCAAAATAAACAAAAACCTTGTAAGTTATTGAAGAAGTTTGACTCTATTGACTAAAACTCCTATTCCATTTTTACATTGTTCTGTTGGATTTATCTCCTCTAAATCATAGAATAATTAATATTTGAATAACCATTGATAATTATTATTATTATTTTTGCAATAAATATTGAATTTTAAAGAACACATATATATGACTATCCTATATTTAAATCTTTCTTGATTTTTAATTTATTGATTTTCAATACTGACCGTTATTTCTTTACTCTCCTCCTTTTGTTTCACAGCCATGCAAAGATGCGCCAACTGTAAGTACTTAATGTTCTTCTTAACATAAAGCTTGAACTATTATAATTTAACAATGCATGGTGCTCTATTTTCATACTAACTTATTGTTTTTCCTGGAAAATTTGTTGCATAGGCTGTGACTTTCGTTGAATGCAACTCCTTGAGAGTGGCAAACCTGAAGTCAAAAAATGCACAACAAATGCATTTTCGTATCCAGAGATGCAAGAATGTTAGGGTTAGGGATATGGTGATTACAGCACCAGAGTACAGCCCTAACACTGATGGTATTCATGTCACGGAGACTCAGGATATCATCATAAGCGACTGTAATATTATGACAGGTAAAACTGAAGATCAACAAAAAAAATATATTAAATAAAAAAATTCACTTGAATTTTAAAATTTCTAATTTTTTTTCCCACTACTTTATTGAAGGTGATGACTGTATTTCCATAGTAAGTGGGTCCCAACAAGTTCGAGCTATAAATATTACTTGCGGACCAGGACATGGAATCAGGTTTATGATTTATATCACAAACATCTCTAAGTTGCAGTTTTGTTTAGATTAATTTTTAATTGTTTGGTTAAATGTATTGATGTTGTTATTACTGTGCAGCATTGGAAGCTTAGGGGCTGATAATTCAGAAGCTGAAGTCTTTGATGTGCTAGTGAACAGTTCCACCTTAATAGGAACTGACAATGGAGTGAGGATAAAGACTTGGCAGGTATAAGTGTTTGACTTTGCTATTTGACACTCTATATCATTCCAAACGGTTGAAAATAGAGGCTTGATTATTAATATAAACTGCAAAAAGCATAATTGAAGTTGCCAACATAATTTTTGGCTTTACCAAAGTATAATGACATGACAATCAAAATGGGAAAACTCATTATGCACAATGTCGCATAAGTCATATTACATTTTCTATAATGTAATGCCTAATACTAAACATGTTTCCTGTAAGAGATTTTTTCCATACATGGGTGCATAAATTTAATCTGCACTAAACAAATAAAATTAAAAAAGATTGTTCCTAATACCCTTGTTAAATGTGAAGGGTATTTATTTTGAAAGATGAGAGGTGTTTTATTCATGTTATATATCTTATTTATTTATTTTTTCTCTATCTCAACACAGGGAGGTTCTGGTTTTGCAAGAAACATAAGATTTATGAACATAGAGATGCAAAATGTGTATAATCCCATATTCATAGATCAAAAGTACTGTGACCAGTCAACTCCATGCCCAGAGCAGGTGATTACTAAATGTTCTCGAACTGCATGTCCTTTATATAGACCAATTGTTTCTATGATATGATATATAGCATTGCATGAAATTTATCATGATAATAATGAGGACCACCTTGGTGGAATGACAGGGCTCTGCAGTGGAATTGAGCGACGTGCGGTATCAAAACATTAAAGGAACAAGTGCCTCAGAAGTAGCAATAAAACTTCACTGCAGCAAAAGCGTCCCTTGCAAAGGACTCTACATGCAAGATGTTGTTTTAACACCAGTAGACGGTGGCGACATCGAGGCTTCTTGTGCGAATGTTGAATATGTCAACAGAGGAAAGCTTTACCCTCAATGTGTTCCTTCTTGAAGAAAGAAGGAATAATGTGGTCGTTTGCATTTGCAAATTTAAATTCCTATTATGTTATTTATTATTAATTAGTAAGTACCAACTAAGTTATTTAGAACTAGGGGCACCAATGCATATTCGTGTTGCTAGTCTAATTTTATTTTATTTTGAATAAACTATGGTCTTTTTGTTTTGTTTTATTTCTAGTGTTAGTTTTGCAATGAATGGATCGAGATGTGAAGAAGAAAAATAGATATATAACAAAGATAAAACGAATGCTCAAAGCATATATAATAAACATATTGTTGGGTAATGGATGAAATATAACGAAATCTTAATCATTAAAATTAAGGAATTTGTGATTATCTCAGAAAATTGTAACTTTCTTAATTAAATCAAGAGATTTTATATAATTTTAAAGTTTAGCTGCCTATTATAATAGAGATTTTTTTTGGTTTTGATAGGATTCTGTCCAGTATTAAGAAATTTAATCATTTGTTATATTTGCCATAAAAAGAGACTTATTAACTTGTATTGTTTTGATTTTTAATTTTTTTAATTAATTATATATGTCTTTTTTTAAAATTTGACATAAATTTAAATAAAATAATTATAGTTTAATATATTAAAGTGAATTTTTAAATATAAAAAACATTTATTTCAATAACCAACCTAAAGACCTCTTAGTACAAGAGCAAATATTATCTAATATAAGGTATTTAAACTTTTTATATAAAAATTAATTTGTCCTACTCTATCTTTGCACGGACAAAGAATAACCGTAAATTTTATCAATAATTTTTATTTTGTTTAAAACAAGTGAAAATATTAAAACTGTGTTATTTATTTCCTATAAATTATATAAAAAAATTTCACTAGATGGGAATCCAAAAATATCACCTCTTGATAAAAAAAAGTTAAAAGCTTCCCGAAAGAGCTTTTTTTAAGATATATTTCAACATTTTGAAATTCTCATATTTATTTTTTTATTTTACTCTTATTTTAAACTTTTATTTATAAATTTTATTATTTATCCTAATAATAAATTATTTCATCTCCTTTCCTTCAAAACTCTAAAAAGAACTTTATATAATTACCAAATAGCTTCAAAGAAAAATTGAACATTTTTTTAACTCTAACAAAAAGTAACTTTTATTCACAATTTTAATTCCAAGAAATCTTATTTTCTCAGAAAAATTTTAAGAATCCGTTAGCCTGTTAATTTTAACTTCTTAGCAAAACTAAGAATCAACTTCACAAAAAAAACTCAAATTATGTTGTTAAAACAAAAACCACAGTTTTAACGTCCAAAAAAAGTCATAAATCACAACAACAATTTATCACAATTTACATTTAAGTCACTCTCAAAATCAAAATGTTCAAACTAAATTGTATATATTTCATTAGATCTAACAAACAAATGCATACTATGTAAATTAAAAAAAATTTGTGAATCTAACAAACACAATATGATACTTGTAGTAGCCAAAAATTTCTCATCATGTTCTCTCCTCTGCAAATACAATTTCAATGTTACGTAAGTAGACAAATAATTTGTAAATGTAGAAAACAAAAAATAAGATTAAAGAAGAGAAACAAAAAAGATTAAGAAACAAAAAACCTTAGGAAGGTTATACTTACTACAAATTTTTCTTACTACCAAATCCTAACCGTTGATTTTTGTAAATCTAACAGCTATAATTTACTGATAATTAATGATTAATTAATAAGTGTGATCCAATAAATTATAATCGTTAGATTGACGGAAATCAGCGGTTAAAATTTGATAGTAAGAAAAAAAAATAGTAAGTATAACCTCTCCCAAAAATCTTTTAATATATTCATATACACAATCTAACATGCTGAGATGTTGGTTTCTCCTACGTGACAAATAAAGTTAGATTTTTATTAAAATTTAATCAAATATAATTAAATTATATAAGAATGTTAGTTGATTAAATTTATATTTTTTTCAAGTCATACTTATTTTATTTTATTTAAAATAAATAGTACAATACAGGCCAATCTGTATGCTTATAGGCCAGGCCTTGTAAAAGTGGGCATATCGCCTATTTATTAAAAAACTATTTGCAAGGCCGGAGCCTGGCTTATTTTACAAAATATACTAGGTCAGATCTGACTTAACGTAGGCTGAGGTGTAGGACCCTGTGGGCCGGCTCGGCCCAATTTCACCCCAAATCATTTCCTGGGTGCCTTTAGTAGAGCTCTTGACGAATGCAATATTTCTTCCATATGATATATGTAGTTGCTAATTTTATGGCGTCCTTATTAGACTTTTTTATTGTTTACTGATTAGTAAGGATGCAAATGGGTCGGACGGGGCTAAGCTTTGCATTAAATAGATTAGCTTTGTGTAAAATAATTTAAGTTTGACCTGGTCTATTAACCTTGTGTAGATCCAAATTATAAATTTGGCTTGACCTATATTTAAAAAATAAAAATCTTGGCCCAGGCAAGTTAGCTTGTTTAAGCTTATTAGACGTTCAATAATTAAAAAAGTAATTAAAGTAATAGTATTTTATTATTTAAAATCATTAAAATAGTACTTTTATTTAAAATAAATAATATGATATAGGCCGACCTGCAGATTTACAGGTCCGGCATGTAAAAGAAAGTCTATGACCTTCTTTCTAAATATACTTTTTTAAAGCTTGAATCTATTCTATTTGACTATATATAATAGGCCGAATCCGACATGATATAAAATGTACCCCTCTTAAATCACCTGATCCATTTACACCTTTTACTTATTATTACTTAGCTATGAAGAATTTAAACGAGAAATTGGCATGTTAATCTTTCCACCTGAATTCACTGATGTTTAGCTTTAATTTAGGAATTTTTTAAAAATTCTTTCAATAATATTTTTATTATAATCTATTTTAAATATAAAATAACTAATAATAACTACTGTAACGTTAATCCCAAAGCATTCATATTTCACAAACTGGATTGGAAGAAATTCTTATATTACGACTTCATGTAACACATTAGGTTAGTATTTGACATAAATGAAGGCATTCTTTTGAAATTTGTATATTTTTGCACAGCCCCCACGATAATTTTTTTTTTCTTTCTTAAAACTGTTTTGTAAAATAGTTAATCAAATATATATGTTCTGTGTTTTTTGTATTTTGAAAATTAAAAATCAAAAATAAAATAAAATAATTTAGATATATTTTCTAAATATTATTCTAAAAACTAAAAAACAGTAATAATTTTTAGAATTAGTTTTACAAACCAAACGTTATCAAACAATTTTTTTTTCTTCTGAAAATTAAAAAATTATTTTTGAAAACACAATTCAAACGCCCTATATTTTTTTGAATTTGAAACCCGAACCTGGTTTTCAATAATTTTGGCCAATCATCATATAAAATGAATAATTGAATGAGGAAGGATATTGAAACAACCAATTAGTGTTACTACCAATCAATTTTACCATTAGATCGATTATGTTGATTTAATGGTTATATTTATTTTCATCTTTGTATGGTTATAATTCCTAATATTTAATACTTTATATTTATTTCCACCTTTGTATGGTTATGATTTTCGATATTTAATGCTTTCACATTAAATATGAGACATCAAAACCATACAAAGATGGAAATAAATATAACCGTTGAATCAACATAATTGATCGAACGGTGAAATTGATTGGTAGTAACACTAATTGGTTGTTTCAATATCCTTCCTCATTCAATTATTCATTTTATATGATGATTGGCCAAAATTATTGGAGACCAAGTTCGGGTTTCAAATTCCAAAAAATATAGGGCATATTTGAATTGCGTTTTTAAAAATTATTTTTGCAAATTCAGACCACAACTTATAAGATAAAGTCTCATTGTTACAAAATTCAAATTATGATTGTGAGAGATAAAATATTTCAAATGAGGTGTCATTGCATAGATCTCGAAAAGTTATGTGGAATAAAAAAAATTACCTGATTCGGATACCCGAGTTAAAAGTTATGGCCTTCAGAAGTTTTACGATTAAATTGTTAATTTTTTGTGACACATGTCTTATGAGTGATGCCCAATTTAGGCGTGATTGGTGACGCCCAAATTGGCATGATATTGTGCAATAAATGTGTAATTATAAACTGCCATAAATTCGTAATTTTTTATTTAAAAATAAATTAATTAATTATTTTGCACCACACGATAATATATATTTTTATTCTTAAAACTGTTTCGTAGAGTAGATAATGAAATATATGTTTTGTTGTATCTTGAGAGTTAAAGTAAATATAAAAAAACAACAACTTAGAAACGTTCTCTAAATATTATTCTAAAAATAAAAAAACAATTATAATTTGTAGAACTAATTTTATAAAATAAGTCTTATTAAACAAGTTTTTTTTATTCTGAAAATTAAAATTATTGTTTTTGGAAACACAATTCAAACATCCCTATGATCTATAGAAATCTGAAACCAAAACCTGGCCTTCAATAATTTTGGCCAATCATCATATAAAATGAATAATTGAATTATGTTACCAGATTAGACAATATTTTTTTTTAGTGGAAAAAGGAAATTAATCCTCGTTTTCCCGGGAGCAAGAAGGGAGACTTTGTACTGAATTTCTATTATTCAATATATATAACATTGGACGCGCACGTTAAGCAATGTTCAATAAAAAATTATTGATTGTTGTTACTATAAATAGATAACCTTAATCTGATTCCCCCCATTTGGATTAAGAAAAAAGAAGAAGAAAAAAATCATTGATTCCAAATTATGGTACCTTCGGTGTTAGTTTCTCATATGAATTCGTATGTCTTCATATTGGCAATGATCATTAATTATTACATATTCTTTTATGACTTTTATGTGGGATTAGTGCAATTGTTATAGAATTTATGATAACTTTTTTCCTTTATTGTATATTAAAATCAATCAAATTTTGTTATCAAAAAAAAAAATCAATCAAATTTATGATTGTTTATACAGGATGCAAATCAATTAATCACTGATTATGTTGCTTCTTCCATATTGAATTACATCCTCTCTCTCCAATCCCCACGTACTTTAGCCCTAGAAAACCCAGCTCTATAACTTTGCCATCAGTATTATATATAGCTAGCTCTTCCTTTGACATTTACCACAAATCTGTCATTCATCCAAGTTTGTTCTTTTCAACAAACTCAAAATATGTCTCCACAAAGTGTAGTTCTTCCATTTCTATTTTTTTTCTTCTCATTTGGCGGCTTGTCTTTTGGCTCTTTATTGGATTACACACGGTTTCAAACAGGTTATCCACGTTACTCGTTGCCTGGGAGGCTGGAGAAGCCAAAATATGAATGTTTTGGCTTCACCACTTGGGCTGATCGATTCACCCCATCTTCACTATCTCAAGGTCAATTTACCTCATATGCTTTGTCTCAAAGGATGGCAAATGTGAATGACTTTGGAGCCAAACCAAACAATGATGGAGATGATACCCAGGTAACATAACAACAACAACATGATAAACATGACATATATATATATATATATATATATATATATATATATATATATATATATATATATATATATATCAATAGTCCATTTCTCAATCTCTTAACCTTTTTTTTTTAATTGTGCTTTAGGCATTTGAGAAGGCATGGAATGCGGCATGTTCTACAGGGAGTGTTCTTTTGGTCCCTGAAAACAGTTTCTACTATCTAAAGCCAATAACATTTTCAGGCCCATGTAAACCAAATACTGCCTTTACGGTGAGATATATGTTCAAAAGCAATGTTTCTTGATAAATCACTTGTTTATCACTGGTAGTTCATTCTAATATTGTTCTGTGTTTCCTGCTTCTTCATGTTAGATCCGTGGAACAATCATTGCATGGCCTCATATGTCAGCATACGGAAACACAGGAAAAAGTGGCCTCAAATATTGGATTATGTTTGATGGTATCACGAATCTCAGAGTTGATGGAGGCGGCCTCATCAATGGGAATGGAAAGAAATGGTGGATGAACTCTTGCAAAATAAACAAAAACCTTGTAAGTTATTGAAATTTGACTCTATTGATTAAAACTTCTATTCCATTTTTACATTGTTCTGTTGGATTTATCTCCGCTAAATCATAGAATAATTAATATTTGAATAACCAATGATAATTATTATTATTATTTTTGCAATAAATATTGAATTTTAAAGAACACATATATATGACTATCCCATATTTAAATCTTTCTTGATTTTTAATTTATTGATTTTCAATACTGACCGTTATTTCTTTACTCTCCTCCTTTTGTTTCACATTCATAGATCAAAGATGTGCCAACTGTGAGTATATATGTGTAACCTACTTAATGTTCTTCGTAACATATATACTTACAGTTGGCGTATCTTTGCATGGCTGCGAAACAAAAGGAGGAGAGTAAAGAAATAACGGTCAGTATTGAAAATCAATAAATTAAAAATAAAGAAAGATTTAAATATGGGATAGTCATATATATGTCCTTTAAAATTCAATATTTATTGCAAAAATAATAATAATAATTATCAATGGTTATTCAAATATTAATTTTTCTATGATTTAGCGGAGATAAATCCAACAGAACAAAGTAAAAATGGATTAAGAGTTTTAGGCAATAGAGTCAAACTTCAATAACTTACAAGGTTTTTGTTGATTTTGCAAGAGTTCATCCACCATTTCTTGCCATTCCCATCGACGAGGCCGCCTCCATCAACTCTGAGATTCGTGATACCATTAAACTTAATCCAAAATTTGAGGCCACTTTTTCCAGGATTTTCGTACGCTGACATATCAGGCCATGCAATGATTGTTCCATGGATCTAACACGAAGAAGAAGGAAACACAGAACAATATTAGAATGAACTACCAGTGATAAACAAATGATTTATCAATAAACATTGCTTTTGAACATATATCTCACCGTAAAGGCAGTATTTGGTTTACATGGACCTGAAAATGTTATTGGCTTTAGATAATAGACATTATTTTCAGGGACCAAAAGAACACTCCCTGTAGAACATGCCGCATTCCATGCCTTCTCAAATGCCTTGGTTTTGCAAGAAACATAAGATTTATGAATAGAGAGATGCCAAATGTGTCTAATCCCATATGCATAGATCAAAACTACTGTGACCAGTCAACTCCATGCCCAGAGCAGGTGATTACTAAATGTTCTCGAACTGCATGTCCTTTATATAGAGCAATTTTTTCTATAATGAGGACCATCTTGGTGGAATGACAGGGCTCTGCAGTGGAATTGAGCGACGTGCGGTATCAAAACATTAAAGGAACAAGTGCCTCAGAAGTAGCAATAAAACTTCACTGCAGCAAAAGAATCCCTTGCAAAGGACTCTACATGCAAGATGTTGTTTTAACACCAGTAGACGGTGGCGACATCGAGGCTTCTTGTGAGAATGTTGAATATGTCAACAGAGGAAAGTTTTACCCTCAATGCGTTCCAGCTTGAAGAAAGAAGGAATAATAATGTGGTTGTTTGCATTTGCAAATTTAAATTCCTATTATGTTATTTATTATTAATTAGTAAGTTTCCAATTAAGTTATTTAGAACTAGGGCACAAATGCATATTCGTGTTGCTAGTCTAATTTTTTTTTTATTTAACTATGGTCATTTTGTTTTGTTTTATTTCTAATGTTAGTTTTGCAACGAATGGATCGAGATGCGAAAAGCAAACTGCTGAAGAAAATAGTTATATATATAACAAAGATAAAAGGAATAATGCGCAAAGCATATATAATAAACATATTGTTGGGTAATGGATGAAATGTAACGAAATCTTAATCCTTAAAATTAAGGAATTTGTGATTATCTCAGAAAATTGTAACTTTCGTAATTAAATCAAGAGATTTAATATAATTTTAAAATCTAGCTGCCTATTCTAATAGAGATTTTTTGTTTTCTTTTTGATAGGACTCTGTCCTGTATTAAGAAATTTAATCATTTGTTATATTTACCATAAAAGGAGACTTATTAAACTTGTATTCTTTTGATTTTTAAGTTTTTTAATTAATTATATATGTCTTGTTTTTAAACTTTACATAAATTTAAATAAAATAATTATAGTTTAATATATTAAAGTGATTTTGTAAATATAAAAAATATTTATTTCAATAACCAGCTTAAAGACCTCTTGGTACAAGAGCAAATATTATCTACAATAAGGTATTTAAAATTTTTATATAAAAATTAATTTGTCCTAATATATCTTAGCACGAACAAAAGAATAACGGTAACTTTTATCAATAATTCTTAATTTTAATTTTATTTTGTTTAAAACAAGTGAAAATATTAAAACTGTGTTGTTTACGTCCTATAAATTGTATAAAAATCTTCCACCAGCTGGGAATCCAAGAATATCACCCCCATAGTGGCATTATTTCATGGGATTCTTATTCACAATTTTAATACCAAGTAATCTCATTTTCTCAGAAAATTTTTAAGAATCCTTGTATTAAACGCGGGTAACTAGGATTTTTGATATGAGTTTCCTAGGAATCTAAAATCTATCTCTCTACCAAATGACACCTAAAAGTTACTTTCAAGTTAGTTAAAAAAAAAATTCGTTACCAAAAAAAAAAGTTCAATTTTTTTTAAGCTATTTGATAATTATATAAAGTTCGTTTTAGAGTTTTGAAGGAAAGGAGATTAAATAATTTGTTATTAGGATAAATAATAAAATTTATGAAAAAAAGTTTAAAATAAGGGTCAAATTAAAAAATAAAACTAAAGGATAAGCTACATAAGCAATAAATTGACTTTCTTCTCCAGCAACGGGTTCGATGTGGTAGCATCGTCCATATGAATTTCAAAATGTTGAAATATAGCTTAAAAAAAGCTCTTTCTGGAAGCTTTTAATTTTTTTATTTTTTCTTCATTATATAAAGAACTTTTTTCAATTAGTGGGTCATATTGGCTCAACCGCATTACCCAATGAATATATGTAAATCTATATATTTATATTAAAAAAATATAAATATACTTAAATACCTGCAAAAAATAAGGCAAAAAAATAATATATTATTATTTAAATAAAAAATTATGAAAATATAGTCGTTTTAATCCAATTTAAGAATCCATTGCACCGAGTTACCCCCCGTTGGACGCAACAAGTCGCGCTCCCCACACAGCGCCACCGGTAGTGCCCCATCCAGACGCGACTTTGCACCATTCATGTGCTGACACGTGACATAAAAGTCAATATTTTGACTGTAAAACTTTGGAAAGCCGTAACTTTTGATTCAGATGTCCGAATAAGGTGTTTTTTGTATTCTAAATAATTTTTTGAGATCTATGCAATGACATCTCATTGAAGGGGATTCAAACAAAAAAAATCCACTTTTTTTTAATTTAAGATATTTTACCATAAAACTACGAAAGGCCATAACTTTTGACTCGAATGTGCGAATCAGGTACATATTTCGGACATCCGAGTAATAGTCCATGTTGTAATCGATTACATGAGCTCAATCTTCCCACATAACTTTTTTGATTATATGGAATAAACAAGAGAGAACCTGATTCGGACACCCGACTTGAAAGTTATGGTATTCTGAAGTTTTACGGTAAAATATCTTAAATTCGAAAAAAATTGGAAATTTTTTTGTCCGAATCCTCTACAATGAGATGTCATTGCGTAGATCTCAAAAAATTATGTGGAATAAAAAAAATCACCTGATTCAGACACCCAAGTCAAAAGTTACGGCCTTCCGAAGTTTTACAGTCAAAATATTGACTTGTGAGCCACGTGTCAGCATGTAAATGGTGCAAAGTCGCGCCTGTGTGGGACGGGACTTTTCACAGGTTGTGCCTGTGTGGGGCGCGTCCTTCCACATGAGTCGCGCCTACCTGAGGCGCGAATGACTGCTATATATTTATAAATTGGTTTCAAACTGCTATGTTTTCGTAATTTTCTATTTAAATAATATTATAATAATTTTTTTGCCTAAAAATGATTCCAATTTTAAACATTATAATATAAAAATAATAAATTACACATCATTGTCCAACAAAAGATCAATCAAACATATAATATTTATGATACTTGTATTCATGTTCAGTAAACGATATCTCTAACTATATATCAAATCAAAATTCCATGCACATGCATAACCAAGATAATATTTTTTTTTTTTTGTAAATAACCAAGATAATATTAGTGTTGTACGTACATAATCTATGCAAATTAATAAGCTATAGATCACTTAAATATTAAAAAAAAAAACCATTTGTGTGTGTGAGTGAAAAAAAGGAAGGCATCAATTAATTAGAACAAAACCTTTTTTTTAACGGATCCAAACCGGGTCACCGGTTGCACCAACCTGGTCATCGATTTTTATGAAAACCGGCGATCGCACTGGGTCTCATCGATTCTATAACATAGCCGGTCCAATACAAAAATTGAACTGATTATATGACCAGTTCATCGATTTCTGGATCAACCCGGCCTAGTCGATCAGATTTTTGTAACATTGGTTCTGATTTTGTTTTGGCCTATTATTCTGATATAGGCTAAATTATATATTTGTTTTAGTCTATTTTCAAAATATAAAAAATTTGGCTTACCCTATCAAATTTGTTTTGTTTATTATAATTTCAATGTAACATTATATGGATTGCTTAAAAGATTATAAATCCCTTTAAATAGTAAAAATTGCTTGTATATTTATTCTTATATGTTTAATTAAATAAAATTATTATATATTTTAAATTAAATTAATAATAAATGTATTCTCAACTTAAATTAATGCCACGTTCAAAGCTCAGTTATGGTAAAATGACAAACAATTATTTGTTACAATTAGATTTCAAATCTATTTTCTCATCCAATTATTTTGTATGGCAGAAAATAATAAAATTTAAGGATTAAACTAAACTAATAAAATTTATAAATAGTATTAATAATTTAGGTATAATTATATAAAAAAAATCTCTACATCAATATTTTTTAATTACTCTTTTTGATTAATATTCTTAAATGTTAAATAAAGGCAAATGCAAAATTTTACTTGAGATTAATAATTAAATAAAACTTCATCAAATTAATATTAGAAAAATGATATAAAAAATAATTATGAGAGTATGATCTATGTTTGAGAAATCCATTCAATAATACTTATGGTTTCATGAAATACACACAAATGAAACATGAAACTGCACAAAGTGAAAGCATACCGTACAAAAATATATGAATGCAATAAGAAAAAAATCCAAGCACAATGCACAATGTTAGACATTGTATCATTAAGACAATTTTCACTCTCTATGGTGCCCAAGATGCATGGACATTTATTTCCCTGGATAGTGTTGAACCATAGGTTATCAAGACCAAGAAAGTGAAGTTTTGTAACGTGAATGCTTGGAAAAAAAAATTTATTTAACTTTCACCGAAAAAATATTTTTTTGACTCTATTTCAAATATTACATGCGATGTACTCGATATAATTAATAATTATTTGTATCAATTAAATAAATTAAAAGATTAGTATTTAAAATTATGTCATTTTAGTCAAAACTAATGTGTTTTATGATGAGAGAAACATAAATAATGATAGCAGAAAGTGAGAGATTTTTTAATTTCAATATTAAATAAAAAATAGTAATTTTAACTAAAATAACCAGTCTTTAAAAGGATAAATATTTCCCCCATAAATTAATACGAGCTATAATCTAAATTGAACTATTTCTTCTTGTTACATGTTAGTATGACTTTTGGATCTGAACTATGTGAATTAAGTGTGGACATGCTAAGCCTGTTATACTGATAAGAACAATACATAATATAGTAATGGCATTTTCTCCACTATAATTCAATTTTATTTAAAAAAATACTAAAACAATGTAAAATCAAAAAGAATTACCAAAATAATGCAGTTAAACGTGCATAGGAAGGTTGCGTGTCATGACCATTTTGCTATGATTTAGCCGTGAATGTTTATTCATGAGAATTGGGTAATTTGCTACGTTGACCAATCGAGCATACGTTGGGTGCATGATTGTTTTAGCCACGTTTAAATTATGGGAAAAACCATAGTTAATTAAGATTACGCCACTTGGCAACAATTGTTTCAATTAATATTAGACGTGCACCCTCCAAATATATGTTTTACAGCATTATTTTGGTAATTCTTTTTAGTTTTGAATTTTTTTGGTAATTTTTTTAATAAAGATGACATTCAAATGGTTAAAAAGCCTATAGTTATTTGCTACCTATATTTGTAGTAGATTAAATATATAATTCTAGGCGTATTTTTTCTTTATATATAAAGTTCCTCCACTGTATAACACATGCTACCAACTGAATTATATCTACCAATATTGAAGGGAAAAAAATAAACAAAGAGAATATAAATGATAATAAATGTCTTAGAATCATTTATATTCTCTCACTACGTTAGTAAAACATTTCCATTATTTTTTTTTAGGATGGATGGAGTTATTAGGATTTGTTT